GAGGAACTGAACCTCAACATTAGTTTTAGAGAAGACAGACCATATTAAAACCATAGCAATATGTCTCTCTTTAGTGTGTGCCTTCTTACCCTTGAACTTTCAACCATTAGTTGAAACAGTACAAGTGCTTCACCAGAAATGGAACAGGTACATGTCCTGTGTTCTTGGAAGGAACTGGAAAGAGACCACTAACAAGCATAGGATTTCTTTATTGAGGTGATAAAAATGTTCTGGAATAGGATAATGGTTGTAGTTGAGTAACCTAGTGAATATACTAAAAATCAATGGATTGTATACTTTTAATGCTGAAATTTATGGTGTATGAATTCTTTCTAAAATGAAGAATGTTTGTTTATTTTGGATTTCTAGACATTTTCACACTTGTAATACCAATATCCTAATTGCAAAGTTTCTTTTTTTTTCACACAAAGCTGAGTTTTAATGACACTAAGTAGACTTAGTAAATGTGGCAAAGCCACTTGCAAAGGGCGGTTATATAGACATATTAGTGTACTTTTGTCTTTATAACATTGATCGAAGGTACATTTTTTTGTTTTATTTTTTTGAGACAGGGTTTCTCTGTGGCTTTGGAGCCTGTCCTGGCACTGGCTCTGGAGACCATGCTGGCCTCGAACTCACAGAGATCTGCCTGCTTCTGCCTCCCGAGTGTTGGGATTAAAGGTGTGCACCACCAACGCCCGCACAGGTACATTTTTAATGAGGTTGAATTTAAGGTGATTTTATTAAATGCATAAATTGTATGCTATTCACAAACAAAGTGCCATCTCCAAATTATTTTAAACTAGCCATAGACAAAATAGTAACACTGCCTGCCCATACAATTTAGTGTATTATATAAATGCCATTCTTAGATATTTATCAGGAGTTTGCATCATCTTAGGTTGCATAGAAAGAAAATTTTCCACCTATGAGCTTTATATATTCAAATTGGTTCTACTATATCAGCTTTAATATTCTCTACTAAGGTTTCACATTGGTCAATTTCACAGTTTTCCAATTGACAATCTATTTAGCCAAGTTTTCACTATTCTTGAATTTAAATATTTATTTATATTATTTTTAAATATGTATATTTATGTGGGTACATGTACATGTGAGGCCAGAGGCATCTGATTACCTGGAATTGGAGTGGAAGTTGTAAGCCACCAACATGGGAGCTAAGATTTGAACTCTAGTCCTTTAGAAGTGTAGTACACATTCTTAACTGCGGATGTGTCTCTCCTGCCACCTATTTTTGAACTTTAATAGAAGGTATGCTCTTTTGTTTCTGGTTTCTTTTACTCAACTTAATATTTGTTTACAACTACTATCTTCATAAACATTCAATGTGTTTAAAACTATGAATGGTGGTGTTTCCTTCTAAGAATTCTGCAATATCTATTCACTGCAGTAGCTTTTTCATGCTTTTCATATCTGTGTCATTATGCAGTGCAATTGCAATAAATTGGTCCTTTTTACATCAATCAGCTAGTATACAGTAAAAGTACACTCAAATTTGGTTATTTACTCTGCTGTCAATTAATACTTAGAGTCTTATTTTTTCCATCTTTTTTATTTGAATTAGAAACGAAGTTGTTTTGCATGTCACTCCCAGTTCCCACTCCCTCTCTTCCTCCCCTTTCATCCCCCCCAACTAAAACCCTACCTATCCCATATCCTTTCTGCTCCCCCTGTATGGTGAGGCCTTCAATGGGGGGGGTCATCAGAGTCTATCATACTCTTTGGGATAGGGCCTAGGCCCACCCCCGTGTGTCTTGGCCCCTCTATATGGAATGGGCTCCCAAAATCCACACCTATGCTAGGGATAAGAACTGAACTACTACAGGAGGTCCTGTAAATTTCTGAGGTGTCCTCACTGAAACCCATGTTCCTGGGGTCTGGATCAGTCCCATGCTGGTATCCCAGCTATCAGTCTGGGGACCAAGAGCTCCCTGTTGTTTAGGACAGCTGTTTATGTGGGTTTCACCAGCCTGGTCTGGACCCCTTTGCTCTTCACTCGTCCTTCTCTACAGCTGGATTCCAGTTCAGTTCAGTGAATAGCTGTGGGTGTCTGCTTCTACTTCCACCAGCTGCTGGATGAAGGCTAAAGGATGGCATATAAGACAGTCATCAGTCTACTTAGAGTCTTCTTAATTTGGGCTTCCTTGAAAATATTGTTAGGAATGTTCCTGAATGAGTTTAGATGTAAACATATATATGTATTATGTGTATGGTGCATACATTTATGTGTATATGTGTGCTTGTATGGAATCTAGAAGTATCTTCCTCAGTTGCTCTCAACATTATTTTTTGAGACAGGATCTCTCACTGAACCTGGAGTTCCCTGTTCTGTTAAACTGGCTGGCTAGAGTGTCCCTGAGATCGTCCTCTCTCTCTAGCATTGGGGTTACAGATGTTCACCACTTACCTTAACTTCTACACTGGTGTTGGCCATCTTATGCCCCAACTACTGTACTCATTGAACCATCTCTCAGGCCCTTTCATAATAATTTTCTACGTATTTATGTGTTGGTACCTGAAATCAAAATTTAATTTATTTAAAGTTTAACTCACACAGAATGTGAACCTCTATGGAATCCATTCTTCAATTCTGCGAACATCCTACTTTGCTTTGTTATTGAAATATCCCTTGTCTAAGCAACTGAAAGAAATGCATGTTTTCCTTAGGTATGGTATTTGTGACTTTGGAAATATTGTTAGAGTAAATTAATTTTTACTACACAAAACATAAAAACTATACATAGTGATGGAATAAAGTGATATTATACATCCTAAAGTACTTGAATTAAGTGTATTTCAGATTGTATGGTAGTAATGATTTTAAATTGTTTTGAGGAAGCTGTGTACTATTTTCCAAAATGGCTGTATTAGTTCATATTCCCACAAAAATGTTCAAGGGCTCATTTTCTCCACTTCCTCAGCAACAGTTAATTATTTTATGACATTTGGATAATTGCCAATTGAGCAGGTGTTTTGTAATATCTCACTGTGCCATTCATTTGTTTTCTTTTGATGATTAGTGATAGTGAGTGCTTTTTCTTTTGAGTGTTTTCTGGCTATTCAGGCCTCTTGCCCAATTTTATAACTTAAGCTAGTGTTTTCTTGCTCTAGACTTGTATGCATCCCTTCCTTACACATTTTGTGTGTTAGCCCTTTAAAAGATGTAGGGTTTGTACATATTTTCTCTCAGTTTAATATCATCTCCTTCCTCTGCTGATTGTTTGCTATACAAAAACTTTCTAGTTTGGTGTAGTTTCATTCATTTCTTTTGACTCTTATAGTCTATGCTTCTTGGATCCTATTAAAGGTAATCATTAGGCAGACCACTTTCATGAAGTTTTTATTTTCCTAACTGCTATAGTAGTGTTACCGTTTTCAACTTTGAATTTAAGTCTTAGTTTTTTGTGTCCACTTTTCTGAATTCCTTTTGGTAGATTGGACTTCTGTCATTATATAGTTTGGGTACGTATGTGGAAACCCAGTTGGCTGTTTCTTTTTGGATGTAATTTTTCTCTTAAGGGTCCTTGATTTGGAAGCTTATATTTCTATTTTTTTAATTTTTTATTCATTTTACATACCAACCCCAGTTCTTGCTTCCCCCACTTCCCACAACCCCCCACCCATCCACTCCTCAGAAAGTATAAGGCCTCCCATGGGGAGTCAACAAAGTCTTGCACATTCAGTTGAAGCAGGACCAAGCCTCTTCCCCTGCATCTAGGCTGGGCAAACCACCATAGGGAATGGACTCCAAAAAGCCAGCTCATGCACCAGGGATAGATCCTGGTCCCACTACCAGGAGTCCCATAAACAGACCAAACTACACAACTGTTACCCATATTCAGAGGGCCTTGTTCGGTCCCATGCAGGCTCCCCAGCTGTCACTCCCATTAGTTCAGGTCAGCTGTCTCTGTGGGTTCCCCAGTCATGATCTTGACCCTCCCCCTTGCTCATATAATCCCTACTCCCTCTCTTCCATTGAACTCCCATAGCTAGGCCCAGTGCTTGGCTCTGGATCTCGGCATCTGGAGAATTTATATTTCAGTTTGATAGTGCTGAAGGGTGGTAGGACCTTTATGAGATGGGTCTAGTGAGAAATTATGAACTCATCTAAAGAGTTTCCCTCAGGAATTACCTAAAGAAGCTTTGGGGTTTTTTGTCTTTTTGTATATATGTAAATACTTCTACGATTGTGATAACACTGACAATGAAGCTGATGACAATGTCAATCAAGCTGTTGAATCTGAAAAACTGAGGCAATAGGGAGCATTAAACATTTTATTCCAGCATTATGATTACAGACAATGAATTAATACAACTTTAAATGAGTGAGTTTGTTCCTGGGTTGTCTTCCCCATTGTATTGATTTGTAATATTGTGTTTATTTCAGTACCAGGCTCTTCTGGTTACTGCTGCTCTGTAGAACATTTCTGGAGTCAGATTTTGTGATTACTTTACTTCTTTTGTTTAAGATTATTTAATCTATTCAGGATCTTTTCTGCTTCCACAAACATTTGGGATTCTTTGTTCTATTTCTATAAAGTGGGCTATTGGTATTTTGATAAAGATTGTATGGAATCTGCAAATCACTTTGAATTATATGGCCATTTTAACAATATTATACTTCCAGTCTATGAACATGGAAATCTTTCTGCTTTTTTATATCTTTAATTTCTTTTACCAGTGACATATAGTTTTCAGTAGAGTTTTGCCTCCTTAAATTTATTGCTAAGTATTTTATTTGTTGTAGCTATTGAGCATGGGATTATTTTCTTTGTTTTTCAGATTGTTTGCTATTAGTAAATGGGAATGCTATTGATTTTTGTGTATTGTAACAGTACAAAATTCACTCTTTAGTTCTAATGGTTGTTTAGAAGAATATTTAATTATATTTATATATTTCATGGTTATGTCATCTGGAAACAAGGACAAGTTAGCTTCTTTTGCAATTATTTTGTTCTCTCATTTTATTTTAATGACAGACATGTTCAGAAATATGCACAGATATGTTGTAGATGACATCAAATCCACAATGAGGTAAGAATATGTGTAATTTAGAGGCCCCCAAAGCATCCCCAGACCAGAATCTCTAGCCTCCTCTCAGCCCTACTGGCTCATAAATGACAAAGATAGACCCCAAAGGCTATTTTAGCATCCCTAGCAACTCCATGGCACTCCCAAGCTTGAGAGTCACTAGTACACACCTTTCATTGAAGGTGACAGCAACTTGCCCTGTGTTATGAATATCCTGATTTAATGTAAGGGTGATATAAAATGGTTATAACGAGTGCCTTGTGCCAATCAAGTAAATAGGTTATTGGCCCATCTGTTGGAACAAACTTTAAGGGAAAAAATTGTGGAAGGAAAATGTTACCATTTCTTATTTTGCAATTTTAATACCTTTATTTGTTCTGACAAGATAGGCTATTGGGTATTTTATATGGAGCTAGTGTGGTAGAAGAACAAAATTTTATGTCATAATTAATTTAAATTTAAATCCATTTAGCCAGGCACAAATAGATACCATATTGAACAGTGTAATTCTGTGTTTCATAGAAGCTACAAAAGAAAAATTTTCACTCTTTACCCTACCTCAATTGTCTGACTGCCCATTAAAACAATCAGTCTTTATCAACTTAGTAAAAAGAATGAGACTAATCAGGTGGGCAACGGGATATATTTTTCTGAAGGAATCAAGGAGAGATACTCCCAATTAAATATTCATTTTATAGTTACAGCAAGAGACTATCCCTATTACTTGGAGGGAAAAGTAGATTGAGACACTCCTTATGATACTTAATTTACTTTATTATATATTCACTTAATTTCCTGGTTTCATATTTCCTCTGGTCTTGACCTTGGATTTAAGTATGTGACTTCTTTGAGCCAATTAAGTGTATAGCTTTGACAGAAGCACAGGCTTTAAACTTGCTTTCATGCCTGGATTTGCCAGTCATGCTCTTGTGATTGGCATCTATCCCAGGTCTTTCTGGTCCAAGAAAAATGCAAATATATTTCAACACACCTAAAAACAATCTGGAAACCGAAATACAGTGTCTGGAGTCCATCCCATCCAAACTGATGCATATTCCTGTTTTATGCTACATGCTTTTGTTTGTTTTGTATCCTAGTTTGTTACGCAGCATTACCATGGTATAGCTAACTAGCATAAGGGGTGACATCAGAAGTATTATCCCTTTTCAGAGGACTTTTCGTGTTTCTGAGAAAAACTCTATAATTTGTTGAACCTTCTTCTTCTTTTTTTTACATTTAATAATAGGGAGACAAGATAGAGGTTATTTGCCTCCAAGACATGTTTTTTTTTCAGTAATAGTCATGGTAAGAAGACCTTCAGAGTTTTAGGATTCGTGTAACAGAAATCCCATAGCTCACTGAACAAGGCTGTGAACTAGATCCCTTCATTTTAGCAAAGTCTATTTTAGCTTCAGTGATGCAATTCTCTTTTATGAACTCCGTATCACTCAAGATTTTCTATCAGGAAACAAGGTAAACATCACTTTCTAACCTTCCTTTCAAGGTAAGCACAACAAAAAAGCAAATGTAGCCACATTTTCCTAGGCCAATGGTTCTCAACCTGTGGGTCATGACCCCTTTGGGGATTGAATGACACTTTCACAGGAATTGCCTAAGACCATCTGAAAACACAGGTATTTACATTATGATTGATAGCAGTAGCAAAATTACGGTTATGAAGTGGCAATGAAAATTTTATGGTCAGGGGTCACCACAACATGATGAACTGTATTAAATAGTTGCAATATTAGGAAGGATAAGTATCACTGTCCTAAGTACATGAATTATGTGCCTTTAACTTTAGTGGCTACAGTTGTTAAAGGTAAATGTAGGGATACCTATCAGATGATACTCCCTTCTAGGCAACTGAGGGAGTGTGGTTTCTCTGCATGGACAAAGTTGAGTGAGTTTTTGTCCTTGTGATTTTACTTGGCTTCTGAACATGAATGATGCTGGAATAATATTGTATGTGCCTCTAGATTCATTGATTGTTTTCCACCTTGAATTGATGTATTCCCACAAAGAGAATATCTTGCTGTTCTTAACCTTTTGGTTGCTCTGTTTGCTGGCTCCACTACTCTGCTCAGCCTAATGAAAAAGTAGCTCATCTTTATGAGAGAAAAAGGAAATAACTTTTTAGATGTAAAAAATTTCCTCAGGTTGAAGCACAAGAATGGTCATATACTGAAAGATTATGGCAGTATGATTTTAAACATTTAAAATTAGAATTTATGAAGTTAACAGTCGACCATCAAATAAAAAATACTACACCATGAGATTTCAAACTCTTTTATAGTATAAAAAGGAAAGCTGACTTCCTCTGTGTTTGAATTTAGTAACACAGGCTACAAAACAGCAACATTAGATGTGTTTTCTCTATTTAAATAGAGAGTATTTACTGTATGCAGATAGCATTAAATCCAGTCAGTTACTGATACCCACACATGGAAATTTGGTCCTTCTTCTGTATTCCTGTTGCAGTTATTCAACTCTATTAGATGATCTATATCTGAAGAGCACATGTTCTCCCTAGCCATTTGGAATGTTGAGGTATTATGGTCCTCTGAGTTTAGGACTGATGAAACAACTCTTTTTCCTTAATGCCTGACTTAATCTACTTTTCTATAGGTGTGAGAAAACACCATGACCCAGGCAATTTATAGAAGAGTTTATCGGGTCTTACAGTTCCAGAGGGTGAGCTTAGGACCATAATGGTGAGAGCATAGTGAAATGTAGTTAAGCATGGTTCTGGAGCAGAAGCTGGGAGCTTACATCTTATCCACAAGCATGAAGCAGAGAGAGAGAGCTAACTGGGAATGGCATGAGATTTTGAAATCTCATAGACCCCCAGTGATTACTCCTCCAACAAGGCCACACCTCATAATCCTTCCCAATCAGTTCCACCAACTGGGGACCTAGTATTCCACTCTGTAAGCCTATGTGGGCCTTTATCATTCAAACTGCCACTAAGTATAAACAGTCCTGACATCAAGGGAAGACACAGTTGAGTTGAATGAGCTCTCAAAAGAAATTTCTTTTTATTTTTTTATTAATTATCACTTTTTCCCATCCTGAACATATTTCCTGTCCCACTACTACTCCCATCCACCCCAACTTTCCCTCTCCCACATATACTCATCCTTTATCTTTAGAAAAGTTCAGATCTCCTATCAACTATCCATGGCATATCAAGTTGCATTAATACTAGGCACCTTCTCTTCCATCAAGGCTGGATGAAGCAACCCAGTAGGAGGAAAGAGTCCCAAAATCAGGTAACAGAGTCAGAGTCAGCCGTTGCTCCCATTGTTTGGATTCCCATAAGAAGACCAAGCTACACAACTGTAACATATATGTGCAGAGGGTCTAGGTCAGTCCCATGCAGGCTTCCTGGTTGTCAGTTCAGTCTCTGTAAGCCCCTATGAGACCAGGTTTGTTAAAAGGAGGAATTCTTATCTAATTTTCCACTGTTCTAGTGCTTTTCACATAGAAATGAAATACATTTTAGCAGTATGGAAAAATTGTCCAGATTAAGCACATCCACAGTATATTGAATAAAATTATTCAAGTAAGCCTAGTTATAGAAAGAAATTAAGTTATGAGATTGAATACTGACATACAGATAGAGAAGTGTTTAATTTCATTTTGTGTAATGGGAGAACAGAAAGGATAGAATAAAAATGGGCAACTGCATTGTTTTTTTATGGAAGATATTGGTCATATGTAGAGTTGTTTGGCAGCAAACTGAGTACATGTTTTTGAAAATGGCACAGCCATTCTAGGGTACATAAAAATTGTAGCTTCTATTGCTATGAAAGGAAGATAGACTTATAATACACCCTTTTGAGTCTTTTGTAAAGAGATGCACTTTGAAAGGAGAAAAACACTACCTTACAAGTGACAACTCTTCTTATCACCACTTTTGTGAACCCCTCCAAGCCACAGAAAAACATTCTCAATAAAAAAGAGGGTTCTTTGCATATGGGGCTGGTGATTGTGTTCATGTGAGATATTTTACATATAGGCTGTCTGAATACAGTATAAACTCCCTGGAACCCCAATTTATTACCATCTATAATAGTAGTTCTCAATCTGTGCTTCAAAACTCCTTGGAGGATTAAACGACCCTTTCACAGGGGTCCCATATCAGGTATCCTGCATATATTGCTTACATCATGATTTATAACAGTAGCAAAATTTATGAGGTAGCAATGAAAATAATTTTATGGGCGATGATCACCCCAACATGAGGAACTGTATTAAAGGGTCAGAACATTAGGAAGGTTGAGTAGCACTGGTCTGTAGTAAACCTTTTAGGTGAAGGAAGAACACAACAGGTATAATCTGTGTAGTAACAAAAATCTCAGAGTTAACTTCATTTGACAGCAAATTATAGTATAAACATAACAATATACATTCCAGTTACTGACCAGTGTTATTATCATGATTCAATATTGAAAACCTTCCTTACAACCATAGAAACCCTGAATTAATCTTTTACTGGTGAATGTCAGTTTTCTTTTTGTTTGTAGGTATCTAAAAATACTTGGATTCTGATGCTTATATTCATCCATGCTTGACATGTGTATGTCCATGAGCTAAGAGTAAATTTGATATTTAAAAAAAATTGAAGTCCAGAGAAGATGAATATGTCACAACAGGAGAAATTAAGGAAGTTTAAATATTGATGTCTAAAAATTTTTGAAATATTTATTTACTTATATATGCATGTATGTATTTACTTACTCTGTGTATGAACACAGACATGCACACACACACACACACACACACACACACACACACACACACACACACACACACACACACACACGGCACATGAATAGAGGTCAGAGGACAACTTTCAAGGAGTCAAATCTTACTTTCAGTCTTGTTGAGGCAGGGGCCCTCTTGTTTCTTCTGCTGCACTTCTGCTAAAGGAAATGTTGGGATTATATACATCTGCTTCTACAACTGATACTCTGTTGTTTAAGGGATTCAACTGAGCT